TGTTGATTCGCCACTCTGTGGTCCGGTCCGGTGGGCTGGCTGCCCGGCCTGCACTGACTGCACTACTTTCTAATAAGCGGCAGAACGAACGGGCGGCCAAGAGTGTGTGTTTTTGCGGCGGTCCGTCTTCTGCTTCGGCGCGGATCGATATCATTCTGGGGGAATTTTTGTGGTGCGAGTTTATACTACGACGTTTTGGTCGTTCCCTCGCCGCAGCGCTGTGCGTGCGCGCGCGCAGGCGCGCCCGTGTAGTGTGTGTTTTTGGAGGTGGGGGACAGAAAGAGAAGGGCTCGGGGAAGTCCGCAGAGTTTTTCGTGTTTGTGCGGTTTGGATCCGAGCCCCCTCCACCTCCACACCTTCACCTGCTGTACTCGTATTGTGACAGGTGTTGCAATGTGCGCCTCGGCCGGGGCGGGCGTGCGGCGGGGCCGGGGCGCTCGGCGGCGCCAGCTGTTGTTCACTCCTCTTGCTGTACGAGGATTACCGTAGGCTCTGGCGGCGTTTGCGTAATGTCTTTCCACTTGAGTATGCGACGCGTTGAGAGCGCGCGCCCCCGAGGCCCCCCCGGTTGCATCCCGCCACGGCAAACAAGAGAGCTCCCCGTCGTGCACTTCCTGCCAGAGGGTGCGCGTGCTGGCCAGCAGGGAAGTCCACGGCCGCCCCGGGCACCACGGCGTCGAGGCCCATAGATAGATAGGGCCCACGTCCGAAGAGGATCCTCTCGCATCCTCGTGTTTTGTTTCTGCCGTCCGTCCCAACTGATTGCTCGATTGCGTCAGCATTGCTTGCGCGTGCGCGCTCTCTCTCTCGCTCCCGCGCCGCTCGTCCCCCCTCCCTCATTCTCCCTCATTCTCCCTCTTGCTCTCTCGCGCGCGCATGCTCCCCCCCTATCGCTCTCGTCCTTGCCTATGCCTCTTTCTCTCTCTCTCTCTCGGCGCGCCGCGGCGTAAACATTGTATCAGTCCTGTGACAGACGCGGAGTGGCGCGGCGGCAGGCGGACAGGTCCGTCCCGTCCCGAAGGCCGCGGGCCGCGAGGCACTTCAAAAACAAGCTCTCCTCCCGAGTCCCGTCATACGGCCCGATTGCACCGCGCGGCCCCGCGGCCCTGCGGCCCTGCGGCCCCTGGCCCGTCACTGTCAGGTGAAATGGAAGGTTTCCTGTTGACTGGGCTTTGCCCACTGCCCTTTGCATCCGAGCGTTTAAAATCGATGCGCGCGGGATCCGTTCCGCCTCTGTTCGGCCCCTGCTGCCCGCCGCATGCATTCCTGGCGCACGGCCCCGCCCCGCCCCGCCCCGCCCCGCGGCTTTGGTCGCGGTGACCGCCGCGTACACGTACAGTAGGACGGGGGCCGTATAACCTGCCCTGGCTCGTGAGCAGTGGTTGCGGGGGGTAACGGACTCGGTTTACTTACTCCCTCGCAGTTATGTACAGTCGCACGACACTCTCTAGCGTAGCTGCTGACGCTCGTATTTTGACGCGGCGAAATCTAAAGAGTGACCATTTTTCGGCGACGATTCAAATTTTTCCCTTATCACTACAACAGTCTGCTCGCACGCCCGCGTCTCTTTGAGACTTTTGGTGTCAGCACGTGAAGGAGGAGGAAGGCCACAGGCATGGGCGCAGGGCCGCGGTTGCACGCCCACGGCAGGAGGCGCAGGGCCAGAGGTGCAGGCAGGGCCACGGCTGCACGCCCACGGCAAGGAGGCGCAGGGGCACCGGCGCCGGCGCACCTGTTTACCACCCGGTACCTGTTCGGGGGAGGGGCTTAATTTAAGCAGGTGGCCTGGTCGAGGACGTACCTGGCGTACCGCCCCCCCCCCCCCCTTCATTCCCTTAATTCGCTGCTCGCTTCGTTCGAGTTCTGCGACGCGGTGGCCTGCCCCGCCCCACGCTCCATGTGGCGTGGACACGGCGGGGGCTGCTGCCGCTGCTGCTCTGGGCTGGAGGGACGCACACGTCCGGGAATAGAACAAGAGGGACCCGGGCCTGTTTGATCCGCCAGCCAATAGCCGCCGCCGCTCCCCTTTCCTTCTCTCTGTCTCTCTCTCTCTTGCTCCCGCTTTGCAGAAGTCTGTCTCTTTTGCACTCGTTATGCAAGCCGAATCCGATGAAAGGGTCGGGTCGGGTCGGATACAGGCTGCGCGTAGAAATGCCTGTCGAAGCAGCAGCGGGCCGCTCATTGGAAAACGTTTTCCCCTTCCATCGTTTCTCCGCGTTTTTTTAAATTGGCTTCTCCCCCCCCCC